TCATTGAGGATATGATGTAGTTTTGAGGATATCATTTGTCTATTTGAGGATATGTTATATATATTTGAGGATATCATAAGTGTGTTTGAGGATATGATATATTTGTTTGAGGATATCATATGTATCTTTGAGGATATGATATATTTATTTGAGGATATGATGTATTTGTTTGAGGATATGATATATTTTGGCTTTTAATGATATCATCTTAACTTAGTAGTAATATTTTTTCGCAATTAAGAGTGTGATATATTTGTTTGAGGATATGATATGTGTGTGTTTAGGATATGATATATTTATTTGAGGATATCACATGTATCTTTGAGGATATGATATATTTGTTTGAGGATATGATATATTAATTTGCGGCTATGATATGAGTGTTTGAGGATATGAAATGTCTATTTGAGGAGATGATATATTTGTTTGAAGATATCATATGTATGTTTTAGAATATGATATATTTATTTGAGGATATCATATGTATCTTTGAGAATATGATATATTTGTTTGAGGATATAATATATTTAGCCTAAATGATATCATCTTAGCTTAGGAGTAATTTTTTTTTCACAATTGAGGATATCATATATTAACTTGCGGATATGATATGTATATTTGAGGATATTAATTTTCAGATAAAGCAAGTTATAAGATATATAATACAACACCATTTATTTATTTTATTATAATAATAAAGAATAATACATAATATATATAACATTTATAGACTGAAATAAAATAATAGTACTACATCTTAAATACCATTTTTGGCTTCAATAGGAAGCCTTTCATTACCAACATTATCAGAAACTCTAATATAAAAAGCTCTATTCTTATAATACACATGCAGAAATTCACCAACAGCTAAGTTATTTCTATCCACAAAGTCCTGCCACTCTTGATCAATGAAAAATCCTCCACTATTGCCTGTATCGTCTTCTACACTCAACACATTGACATTCGAAGTGCGTCCATTCTTCCCTCGATACACTCTTGTTGTATCCTTAAATGAAAGCAGCAATTTCCTCCATTTGGCAGGAAGAGGCTGAAAACAAAACTAACACAAAATTAATTACTAGTAAGATATTAAAACTATTCTATTAGATATAAGAATATAATCTTACAAGCGAAGTTCTGCAAGATGGTCTCTATTTCACAATGCAGTGTTCCATGTTTTTGTGAAAATTTTTAGTCTCCATTTTAAAGATGAAGGTTTTTTTTTTTTTTTTTTTGAAGAATAAGAAGAAGAGTATGTATAATTTTGATAGACTTAAAGGTTTATATAGATAGATACAACCAGTATATAGACTCAAGCTATACATAGGCAAAGGTTTTTTTAAAGGTAAATGTTTTAAGTAGCTATTTACGTGTGAAACAATGAAATGTTAAGATAATGCAATTTGAATTATTCATATATGATTTCCAAAAAATAACACTCCAAAAATCTAAAATCTGCTAAAAAAAATGTATTTCTACTATTTATTATTCTTTTAACAAAATGACAAACCAAATATATACAACCTATATGATTAAAGTGTTCTTTGTCAATGGTGATAGCTGTATATGATAATTTGGTCTTATATGATCTATACGTTTGATGATATAATCTAATCTTTGAAGGTTATCATTTAGTCTTTGTCTGATTTCATTAATTCCTTTGAGGATATCTTCCAGTATTTTACATGATATAATCCGTTCTTTAGAGGATATCTTCTTTTTGTTGTATAATATAATATAATATAATTTAATTTTGATTAAATAAATCATCAATATATATTAGTTTGACAAAAAGATGATATAAACATGAGTTTTAGCTTTAACGTTTGAAAAGATAAAATTTTATTTGACTAATTCAAAAATTACACATAGGAAATATTAAGATTTGACTAATATAATATGTTTATGATTTCCAAAAAAACAAAAAATAATGCTGTGAAAGACTAAACACTGCCAAAAGAAAAATTTACTTTTACTATTTAAGATTTTTTGAATAAGATGACAAATTAAATACATACAACTTAAATGATTAAAGTGTTGAATAATACATTACACAAAAAATAAGATTCAAATTTTTTAATTCTTGGAAGATATCATCAAGCCTTTGGATGATACATCATATCTTAGGAGAATATCAACTAGTTTGTGGAGGATATCATTTAGTCTTTGGATGATATCATTTACTATTTAGAGGATATCGTATAATATTTGGATTATATTAGTCACAGGTTTGGTGATAAAATCCAGACTTTTAAGGATATCATCTTCACTTAGTAAGATATTAATTAGTATTTAGTGTTTGTATGATATCATTTACTCTTTAGAGGATATCATCAAGTCTTTGTATTATATATCTAGTTTTTTAAGGATATCGTGCACTCTTTGGATTATATTAATATCTGGGGTTGGATGATAAAACTAGTCTTTTAAGGATATCATCTTCACTTAAGAGGACATCAACTAGTATTTAGTCTTTAGAGGATATCATACAGTCGCGGGAGGGTATAGTCCTGTCTTTTAAAGTTTATATTAGTAACAGGTTAGCCGATATAATCTAGTCATTTAAGGAAATGATCTTCACTTAGGAGGATATCAACTAGTATTTAGTCTTCGGAGGATATTATCCAGTCGTTGGAGGATATCGTCCTGTCTTTGGATTATATTAGTAACAGGTTGGATGATAACTTCTAATCTTTAGAGGATATCATGTAGTCTTTTAAGGATTTCGTCCAGTCTGTAGATAATATTAGTATAGGTTGGATGATAAAATATAGTCTTTAAGGGATATCATCTTCATTAGGAGGATATCAACGAGCATTTAGTCTTTAGAGGATATCATTCGGTCATTGAAGGATATCGTCCTATCTTTGAATATTATTAGTAACATGTTGGATGATAAAATCTAGTCTTTTAAGGATATCAAGTAGTAATTATTGTTTAAAGGATATCATCCAATCGATGGATTATATCGGTCTGCGAAGCCTGATACAACCGGGCCTCAAACCTGCACCTTTTTTAATCGAGCCCGTGAAGCCCGATACAGCCGAGCTTCAAACCCGCGTCTTTTTTTAATTGCTGTGTTTTTGTTTTGACGCACGAGTTCTCAAACAAAATAAGTCATAAGTCAACCCAGCTTCCACATAGAGAGGATCAGCTATTAATATACCTCATATGATCGACAGACGTTAGCACTGACATCAATAGCTATAAGAAGCATAATTTATATTTGTTGCCGTTACTCCAAATATAAAATAATCAATACTAGTTCATAAAATTACTTCATAATCTCTTATATATGGCAAACACAACACAAGCTCTCCAATCTCAAACAAATCACTACAACAATTCACCCACCAAAACACACGCACACCCAACCTCCAAAAGCTGTTAAAATGGCAGCAGACTCAAATGCATCATCTTCCAGCACCCTTTCTCTACAAGACAGAGTAGCTATCGTCACAGGAGCCTCCCGCGGCATTGGTAAAGAGATCGCTCTCCACCTCGCATCCCTTGGGGCTAAAGTTGTAGTCAACTACACTTCAAATCCAACACTAGCACAAGCTGTGGTATCCCAGATTAACTCTCATGGGTCTGAAACCAGGTCTGTCGCGGTCTAAGCAGATGTGTCTGATCCGGATCAAGTCGAGGCCTTGTTCAATGCAGCAGAAGAAGCCTTTCTGGCACAACCCCATATTGTTGTGACCACAGCAGGCATCCTTGACCCAAAGTACCCTTCCATTGCTGAAACCACTATAGAAGACTTCGACAAAGCCTTTGGTGTAAATACCAAGGGAACATTTTTGTGCTGTAAGGAGGCATCCAAGAGGGTGAAGCGCGGAGGTGGAGGGCGGATAATTACATTCTCATCTTCTCTGACAGCAGTTTACAGGCCAGGGTATGGAGCATACACGGCATCCAAGGCGGCAGTTGAGGCAATGACCAAGATTTTGGCGAAGGAGCTCAAGGGAACCAGTATTACAGCTAACTGCGTTGCTCCAGGTCCCATTGCTACTGAGTTATTCTTTGCTGGTGCCACAGAGGAGAAAATCCAGGCAGCAATTAATGCTTCACCGATGGAACGTATTGGTGAGCCAAAGGATGTTGCACCGCTTGTAGGATTCTTGGCTGGTGACGGTGGTGAGTGGGTCAACGGCCAGATCATTTGAGCCAATGGTGGATTTGTATAATACAGAGCATGGGATGCCTTCTTGATCTGACATGTTTTGTGTAGATGATGAGGTTTCCTGCTTGAGGATCCTTACAAATAATACTCTGTTTTATCATAGTACTCACACTATTGAATCATGAACAATTGCCAAATAAAGATGTTCACAATCTGTTTATTGCCAATTGTAGAGCTATTGAAAATTTGATTCAAACTTGAAATACTACTACCTTGAATTCAAATCAACCAATTACAATATGCACAACCTAAACTGGCTTAAAAGCTGGCTGGCAGGTCTGTCCTCGGAAGGCTGGAACCAACTACAAACTTTTGGGTTTATAAAACATACTTCTTTGACCCTAAGACGAAATGACTTGATCTAAACCTTTTTTTATCAAATAGAGAAAATGGGACATTGATGCTAGGATAAATCACAGATCCCGTCAACAAAATAAAAAAATAAAAATCACAGATTATCTTGATGACACAGAAACAACAGATATTTAACATTTCAAGCATGTTTGGTAAGAGTGTTTTTTTGGGTTGGGAATGGATTCAATTAAACCATTACCGCTACGAACTGTTTGGTTAGAAGGTTTGCGTAACAATTACCATCCATCCTAGGGGTAATGGTTTCCACCTATTTGTTACCTCTCTAAAACCTAAGGTAACAATTACCCTTACCCTCCTCAAACCAAAAAAAGAGTTAGGTTTAAATGATTTATTTTCATGGTTACACCAAATAAATGAAAAGGTAAGAGTTAAATGATCCCTTTCCTCCCTCTTATTTGTTTCCTTTCCACTTCATTTCCAAATCCATACCAGTTGCCCCCTAGTCAACCAAAGGTAAAATTACCCATGCACTAATATATTGAGTTCAGCCCAGGATTTCAAGCTACTGCAGTGGTTTTCCTATTTGAGAGCTTAGTAACGGCAAAATATAGATGATGTATAACTCTATCACTCTACGAAAGACAAAGACATATTCATCACGAAAATCAATCAATTTGATAAAAATATAAAAGGAAATGCATCTACCTTTACTGAGAATCTGAGATTGTTGAACAACCTATTTCACAGCTCTACAGCATAATGATGTACATACTGAATTATTCTTTCTTCTTTGCAACGTCGGCCTTTACATGATCAGGTATCCAGGACGACAAAAAGAGGGGTATTATTGTGCATGCTGCTTGTATCAAAAGTCCAAGAGGTAACCCAGAGAAATTGGTTCCAGTAATACCAACATAAGATGCAAGTGCAACACCAAGATACCCACCAACAATCATTGCAAGAGCAACGGCAGACATCACAAATGCCATCAGAGAACCCTCACACCCAGGTGGACAGAGCTGTGCAATCAAAACACTAAAGGGTAGTATCTTGAAGAAAAAAAGAACCTCCTGTAGACCAGAAAAAATTACAACATACACGGAATCTGGAAGCCCCATGTTCTGGTAAAATTTGGTAACAAACAGCACATCAGAAACCATGAAAACAGCAACTGTTGCTTGAATAGCACACATTACTTTCCTCGGGGAAGCTGATTTCAGGCTCTTGTTATAAAAAAAACTCCACAAAAGCATTCCTACTTGGCCAAACACCTTGGAAATCCCCAATACTGATGAATCAATACCTAAAGCCTGAGTTTGATAGTAGAACATTGTTCCAACAAGGGCAGGGGTCATGGCATAAGAGGCCACAAGCCAACCAATGGAGTAAGCAATTTCAGGCTTGTGCAGTGCACTTGCAAGCTCAGCAAGCTTGTCTTTTATCCCACCAGCAGAATGATGTTTGGGAAGGTTAAGAGATCTCTCATTAACCAATATAGTTATCAAGAACTGGATGATAAGGATTGCACCATAAGTTAGGAGCATAAATCGTGAGCTAAACTTTTCAATGGCAATCCCTCCTACTAAATTCCCAAGAACTCCCCCGACAGAAGAAGCCATCCAAACAAATGATTGAAGCTCCCCTGAAGAAGATGATTGCCCTTTCTTTGCTGAATTGGGCTGTTTGCTAATCTCAGCTACCATAGCATCATTAGCAACCTCAGCAATAGAGGCACCTAAGTTGCTCAGGAGGAGATAGAAAGTAATGGTGGAGATTGAGATGCTTGATGAAGAAAACATTGCTATTGCTACCCATGAAACAGCTTGCAGAATAGCTGCATCCATAAACATGAATAAATAAGAAATTTATCATTCTATTGTACCAGCAATATGAGAAAAACTAGCAAAAGATAATAAAAGCCACACTCCAATACTTAAACGAGAGTTAGAGCCATTTTCCAAGGAGCCTAAGCTCATTTTCAGTTCAACCGCAGAGCATCAAAATTAGCTACACCTACAAATTGAAACTTAAAAATAAGTTTAGAAAAAACTAGTTGAAGTAATTCAAACAAGCTTCAGTATGTTTTTAATTCCAATATGTTTTGATGAGTTGCAAAAAAAATCATAATTCGTATAAGGACTACCCAAGTCTGATTCACAATTAAAATACCACCTTTTCTTCTTATAATTTCACCTTATTCTATCTTTCACAAACCCCTTATACTACCTTACACCGTAATATTTACTCCTTTTCACTTACACTCTCATATCTTATCCACATTTTTCATACATTTACCTATCTATATCCGCCCTTTCTTTACCTTCACTCGCTAATCAGCACACTCTCTTCTTCAATTGCTTCAATTTGGAAGTGTTAAAGAACTTTCGAAAACAGAGGTAAACACTTTCCTAACTTCAAAAAAGCTCATAAAGTTCAAATAAGATCTACTGTATAATATATACAAGTCAGCTTTTTCAGGTTCAATAAGCTAAGGATGAATTTTACACATAAGTTTAAATAAGCACAAATAAGTACGACTCCTTCTAGCGAAAAGAGGGACATACTGCCGTACTGTACCCAAGTATACATGGCATTTAATCACATCAAATTGTAGTCTTTCTATTTCAACTGAACTTTCACAATTTGACTTTTTTAGTGACATATACAAATCTTCCACCCCTATCATTTTCTAGCTAAATTATTCCAAATTCGATATTCACAAATCACAACCTTAAGTAATCAAGTGCAAGTACTAATAATTTGAAAGAAAAAAAAAGCCAAGGCCATACAAATAACACATTAGAAAACCCATAAAATAAAAGTCAACCACGATAAATTGACAAGTGAGTAAAGTGACAAAGTGTTCAACATAACTTTACTTGCACTGTAGCACAAACCAATATTCCATATAAAAACTGAAAAGTGCATATAGTAGCTAGCTAGTTTAGTTGGTAAAATTTTCGGGGTTTAAATCACCTACGATCAAATTCCGACTACATCACCAATTTATAATAAAAAAAATAAAAATGATAAAAACAAAGAGGAATTACCGCCCAGGGAAATGTAAGGAAGACGATGTTGGCCATAGAAATAGACAGAATCAGAAACGACACCGTAAAGGGGTTTACCAACCATAGGAAGATTAGCAGAATTGAGAAGAATCTGAAGGGTAGAAGGGTCAATTTGAAGACCATCTTTAAGGAAGAAAATGATGGCTAACCATGGAAAACAGCGGAATCCTTGTACCCAGTATCCCATTCCAAGTAAACACTTCATCATTCCCATTCCCTTTCCCTTTTCCCCCATTTTTATCACCCAAATAATGGAATTATGTAATTTGCTTAAATTCAGCTGAAATTTGGAAAATTTTCAGTTTTGGTTGATGATGATTGGTGATTTGAAGCGGTTTTTTAGGAAAGAGGGGGAAGGTTCAGGAGAGAGGCAGATGTGAAGGGGTGACTTAAGAGGAAAGAAAAGAAAAGAAGAGAATGTACGTGGTGACAGGTGAACTACTAAAATAAGACCAATGAACAATGATTAATGGTAATTAAGGTCCTTTTGATTTAATTAATTTTTTGACTAGATCGAATCTGATTGAGAATCGAAAATTTAAATTTCTCATAAATTAGAGACCAGACTAGTTTTCTTCGGTCTGAAGTGGCTTTGTTTTTCGGTCAAAGAGCGAACCATTATATAGGGAGAATTTCTCCGGGTCTAGGAATTTTAGTTCCCAAGGACTCTAGAGAATTGTGGGCCTCACTTGTGTGTAGCAGTCAACAATTAAAAAGTTTTTTAGAAAAAGGGAATGTTAAAAACAAAAAGGAGGATAAAATTGTGGGTCATGTGTTTTATAATTTGTTCCAAATGTATTGTTATTCTCGTCAAAATTAATTGATAATTCTTCCCCCAATTCACAAAATTTTTAATTCTCAAATTTTTTTTGGCAAACAATAAAAATCAGCAAAATAATTTGATTTTCCATTGAATTCCTTCTAATTCTTGTTAAGAATTTTGTAAATTAATGAGATATTAAGGACCTAAAATCCAGCTTATTCTTGTTGTTACCTAGGTATTACATCAACTATCATTCATACAATTTAGGTTCACTTGTTGGTATTACTTACTGTTTTACAATTATATATGTTAGTATAACTATCTCTATTAATAATACGACTGTACTTATTAATATTTACGTTGGTATGAGTTTACATACTGTTGGTATATCTATCTCTATTAAGAATAACAATAAAAAAAATTAACATGTACGTCGGTATGGGTTTACTTAAACAGTTCATTCAATTGGTATGAGTTTACTTATTGTTGGTATATCTTCTCTGTTAATAATACCAATAAACAGATTAACATGTACATTGGTATGGGTTTAATTAAATAGTTCATTTAATTGGTATCATCTAATGTTAAAAGTTTGGTGTATTCTAAAAAAATGCAATAAATCACTCATAAATTGTTATTGAAGACAAATTTAATATAAAACTAGCAAAATTTAGCAACAATTCATCATATTCACTTTCAAAAACGTTGAAGATATGAAGAAACATTAGAATAAAAAATAGATGCCATGGAAAAAAGATATAGATCTAATCAAAATAACTATAGAGAATGCAATGTTGTAGAATATTTAAATATTCAATGCTAAAATTCAAAATATAGGGAAAAAATAACAAGGAATCTGGAAAAAAAAAAGGAAGAAAGAGAAAGCAAGGAAAGAGGAGGAATAAGGAAGGAAAAAACAGAGTACCGTAAAAAAAATAGACAAAATAAAAATAAGTGAAATAATGAAGGAGGAAAATGAAAAAGGAAAAGAAAAAGAAAAAAAAAAAGGCGCAGGGCGGTTCATGGTGAATTGGTGATTAACATGGACTGGGGTCCATCAGTCCATGTAAGAATTTGCGGAATATTAGTTGTTGGAAGCGTTGTCTTAATTAGTACTCTCTCCGTCATCTATTTTTTGCCCCTTTTGAGTTGTGTATGCGGGACAAGGAAAGGAAAAAAGGTAGGAGAGTGTATGTGTGGGCCCCATAAAAAATAGAGAGAAAATAGTTACCATAAAAGAAAATGGGGCAAAGAAATAAAGACAGACAAATAAGGAAGATGGAGCAAAGAAAAAAGGGGCGGAGGGAGTAATATATTGTGATCAATGTTATTAATGGGTTCTAACTTTTAAAACATCAGGAGGATTGTTCCGTATCTCGACCAAGAATTTTAGCCGGCCACTTAAAGTTCATGCAAGTGTAAGTTATGGCTTTTAGTGGCATTTTTTATTTTTATTTTTATTGTTATTTTTATTTGTTTATTTATTTATATTTTTTTTAATGTATTGTGTGTACACCTTTCATTTTATGTCATATACTAGCACAAATCCTGTGCGATGCATGGATTTTTCAAAAAATAATTTTGAATTATAATATTATTATACAGATGCGATGTCCAATTGCCCACAATATATATACTTCCTCCGTTTTCTATTTAGTGTTACGCTTTAAATTTTGCGGATTTCTAGACAATTTTTTGGGAGGAAAGAGATAAAGGGTCTGTTATCTTCAGCTTAATTTCAGTTCAGTTCAATTCAATTCCTAATTTCCTTCTCTCATAAATAATTCAGCTCAGTTCAGTAAATCAGAACACGCCCAAAGAGGAAAATAAGGTGGGCCCCATATGAGTATATATATAAGAAAACACTGAATGTTTTTACACACATAAAAGATATAGTAGAAAAATTCTAATTAAACATTAATTAATAATACCAATCACATAGTTTGGTAATAATTAAGTTTCCATTTTTGTTTCCAATTAAGTTAATGTAATAACGGAAATGATATACATAGTCCTTATTGCCCCATATCAAATGACTGAATACACAAGTGAAAATATTAAGCTTAATCGAACAATAATTACCCAGATCAACATACAATTAGCATGTATTCCAAAATTATTATTACGGAGTACTGATTTAGGACATATATTGTCTCCGTTTTATAACGTTCTGTGCATTTACTGTTCATTACGCAACCCAATGCACATTTTCTATCATTAATATCTAGAATTGCATGTTTGTAAAAATTATAGCGAATGAAAATTAATAATGTACTCATTAAGACGAATCAAACAAGACCTCACATGACTATATTTATTCTTATCTATGGATAAAAATATCAATGATTCTCTTTACATGTTAATAGTGTCAAAAAATCACTTTGCACAAAACATTATGAAACGGAGGAAGTATATAATGTTATATGTTGCCCTTTAGTTACATTTATTCATTACAATCTTAATTATCTTCCATGTAAAATATGTGTGTGTGTGTGCGCCGCGCGCGCGCGCGTGTGTGTGGGTGTGCGTGTGTGTGTGTGTGTGTGTGTGACCTAGTTATAATGAGAATCAATCCTATAATAGGAATTAGGAACTAATCTGGACCGTCAGATCTAAGAGAAGAGGCGCACGATCTAACGGCCCTAATTAATTCAAACAAATTGAATGAGGCATGAAAATTTCAAGCGCCATTTTCTCTCTCTTCTCTCTCTCTCTCCTCCGTTATTTTCAACTACTCAAAATCTTTGAAAAACCACCATAACTGCAATTTTCAACTGCTTAATTACTCTATATAAGCACAATTCAAGTTGTATAATCTACATTTCTTCAGTTTCGAAACAAAAATCACGAAAATTAGCAAAAGTTGGCGAAAATTAGGTATTATTTCGAAACTTTAAAGTTCATACTCTTTTGTCTAATTTTGTTGCAATTTCTTACTTATTTGTGTGTTTTTTGCTTGAATTTGTTAAATTTGAAGAAGCAGAAGTTGAATCGGAGTAGTTCGAAGTTCAATTTTGGTGTTTCGAAGTTCGATATCAGGTATTTTCAGAATTTTGTTTGTTTTTGTTCAAATTTCGTTTGATTTACTTTAAATTTCTGATTAAATTTGTTGTAATTTATTTTAAAATTGATTAGAAGATAATTAGAAGTTGAATCAAAGGTTTCTTTATTTATTTATTTATTTATTTTTACGAATTTTTCCATAAAATTAGATCTGTTTTTTTTTTTTTTTTTTTATGAATTTCGGTATAAATATATATCATATTTTTACAGAATATAGGTAAAAATTTGAGTAAATTTGGTTCTATTTCTACTAATTTCGAGTAATTTTAGTTAATTTTTGAGTAATTGTTGCTAATAGTTAAAAGAAATCAAATAAAAGTTGATATAAAAATAATTAAAAGTCAACAAAATAAAAGTTAATGAATTATTGTACGATCTATAGCTAATTTAGAGTACTTTCCTTTGAGTAATTTTAAGTGGTTTATTTTTACAAGTAGATAGAAATTGGCTAAAAGTAACTTTAAATTGATTAAAAGTTAATGAATTATTGTACGATCTATAGCTATTATGGCTTGTGTAAAAATCAAGAAATTGATGTGGTTGAAATGAGGATTGGTTTTTTTTTTCGAAATGTTGCATGTATAGAAATCATTTGTTGCTGTTATTATAATAACAAGAGTTGATTTGAAAGTATATATATCAGGCAGTGTAAAACCATCAAGTATAAATCAAGAAAGCATGATTCATTTTTGTTTTGAATTGCATGCAGATTAAAATGATGAAAACTACAAAGAAAAATGTTGCAAAAAAATCTCAAAATGAACCTCTTGCAGAAAAGAAAGCTCCTGCAGGGAAAAAAGATGCTCCTGCTGCTAAGAAAGCTCCTGCAGCATAGAAGATAACTCCAAAGAAACCTGCAAATTCAAAGCAATCTCCAATTAAAGGTATATTATCTTGAAGTAAAAGATTCATTTTATAAAGTAAATAGAAACAGATATAAAGTAAACCATTTGCCTTTATAAGTCTATGATATCAATATAAATATTATGATGGATACTACTACATGATGGTCATAAAAGTAAATGATAAGTTAAATTAAGTAAATAAAAATGCTTATAAAGTAAATATATATGTTTTTAAAGTTATTTAACATGTTTTACATGTATATATGATATGTTCATTTTATATAGAGATTTATCCCCGTCTCTTGGTCATATTTAGGAGTATTATTGGCTCTTTGGAGCCACTTTTATTACTAATATGCGTTTTCTAGTGTTTTCGTAGTTTTGATACCGTTTTATAGGAAATTGCAGATTTGGAGCATTTTCCCGGACTTATGATAAGCCATTACGAGCATTGGAGAATTATGACCATATTCCGTAGCCCAAGACCGCGTTGGATTAATCAAATCGGTGATTAAGGGCTTGGTGAAGAAGAAGAGTTCGAGGCAATGGACCGTGTTTCAAGACCCAAGAGGAAATTCGGATTGGGCCAAGAAAATAGCCCAATTGAGATGTACATGGTTGCCAGAAGAGCTCGCCCGACCGGGTAGGCCCTCGCCTTGAGGCGCGCATGGTCGGGCGAGGCATAAAGAAGAAAGGCGCCCATCGCCCTGTCTCGCGCCCGACCAGGTGCGAGTGAAGAAGCCACCAGCAAAAAGGCGGGCCCGACCGGGCGCGTGTTTCTAAGAAGAAGTTTTGACGATTTAATTTGTTTTATTTTTAATAGGATTTTGTGCTTAAGTATAAATACGTTTTTAAGCTAGATATGATTACTTCTTCTTTTTTAGTGAGTTATTTCAAGATTTCTAATTTTAAGCTTTGGTTAATACTCTTATTTTCTCTACACCTTTGACTTATGCAATTCATTATTTTCCGTTTACTTTGGTAACGATTTCTTCCCCCTTTATTTTCAGTAATTTAATTGCTTTGATTTAATATTCTTTGTTTAATTGCTTTGATTAGTTTAGATTTAATTATGTATGAGTAGTTTTATACTAGGGTTTATGGGGATCCATAAATAATATGAAGGGGTAATATATTATTG